AATTATTGCTTTACAAATGTAATCCGAATCCCAGTGGAGGCCGGAGGAAATAAAGAGAACAACAAAAGACTTGTAGAAAGAGATCTATATTATTCTTTATCAACAAAAAAAAGAGAGAGAGAGAGATCTACATTACTCCTTTCCATTTTAAAATATATATAGTAATGAATACTTTATAGAGTTTTAGATTTATTTACTCTTAAACATATCACTTTAAAATTTTCAATGAAATATTGATTATTTCTTTTACCGTGTTACTCTTGATTAAAGCATATCTCTAAGATTTTGCTACAATGTAGGCAATTCAATAGCTCTCTTAATCTGTATGAACAACTTTAATTGGTTAAAGAACAATAGGTAATTATACATCAATGGACGATTATTGTCAAATGAATTTTAAGAAAATTATTCTCATTGGTATTGATAATGAACTAATCAATAATCCGTTATTTCAAAATATGAAAACACAGAAAATTCAGAATAAACTTACAAATCGCTTTTTTTTTTTTTGTCGCCGACGAGAAATTACTAGAGACCTCTGCGTTTTCATCACACACATGTGGGGAAAAGGTATTGGAGGGCGCAGTTGATGTGGTTGGGAAAGAAGCTTCGGTTTTCACACTAAATGAGGCAAAAACCAGTTTTCCGCAGTTGGTGGTAGTTAATTACTTGACGGATACACAGCAATGATGAAAGATTTGAAACTAATACTCCTCCGATTTTTAATATAGGACCTAATTGTTAAGTTAATTTTGATCCTAAATATAAAACATATTTCTCATATTTATCAGTTTTTCCTAAATTACCCTTATGGATATTCTTCAACTATAATCAAGTAGATGATTTTGGTATTTTAGAAAAAATACATTATATTTTCTATAATTAACTAACTTAACCAACTTCTTTAATCTAATCAAATGAGTTAAATGGGTCTTATATTAATGATCGGAGGAGTAATATAATTGTTGAGGTCCATTCATCAAATGTCTAAACAATGAATAGGAGTGGTTTCAATGCTCATAATCTGAAGCATTTAGATCTAATATAAACAGTTTAGATTTGTTTCTTTTTTTCTTTTTTTTTTGTTCAGATTCTTATTTGAAGACACTTTTTTCCCCTTAGCATTACATGAACTTTAAGATAACTGACACAATTCATAATTTATAAATAAATACAACAGTTTCTTGTAAATTTTACATTGACATAGCTAGATATACTTCTTATTCTTGACCAAGTTTGTGGAATTAATGAGAAAGTGTCTCTTTCGATCAATTTTCCAGTTTGAAGATTACATTCTAATGCCTTTGGGTGGGTCTCGCCATTGAAATAATGAATGATTAATTAATCTATGTGTTGGTTGGTGTAATAGCATTCACACAAACCCTAACGCTTCAAACTAAAACTGCCGTGTGAGAAATAGAGGTCAGTGAAATGGTCAATTGATGTAGAGATTAGCTAGCTTCTTTCTTGACCAACCAAACCCAAAACCACAATTATTATCATCAAATGACCCTTCTAATTAAAGTCCATATATGATGTCAATTTCCACTACCTTCCAATAATATTTCAAGTTTTCAACTTCTTAATTTCCTGGAAGAGCGGCGACTTTGAAAGTTTTTTATAGGCCAGAACTTACGTGTGGAGGTTAATTGTAGTTTACGGGAGTTTACTTTAGTCATCAGCCAATTACTTTGTTATTAAAAATATAGTCGTCAGGTGAATTTTAAAGTTATAAAATTGTTCACCTTATATATGACACAAACCCTTAATGATAAAATGTTATTTTTAACATCTCCAAGATAATTAGTCATTAAAACTTGAAACGAGAACATCACTCAATATGGATTAATGGTAACATAAATTACAAAACATTATAATGAAAATCATAAGAAAGATCGGCTTCTTCTTCTTCTTTATTTTTTTTTTCCTTTTCTGCTACAACAAAAATATTGATTTCGGACTAAGCTGACCGTAAAGTGTCTATTGGTTATTTTATGATTTTATCTTTATCCCAAATGCATATCATATACATGATTAGTTTTTATAATTAATCTATTTTTAATAAATCAATGTATCTTGTAATAATATATCTACTAAATAGCCAACCTCCTTAATCAGGGTAAAATGAAAATGAGCTTAATTACATTAGCCATGAGGAGAAAAAACAAGAACACCGATGTTGATTATTAGTTATCATGATTATATTTGGGACATCTTCGTATATCTTTCAATCTTTTTATGTACGTGTCTTCCTTTCTTTCTTTCTTTCTTTTTTTCCTTTCTTTTTTCTTGTTTTAGTGTAGGCAGCACACTAATTAACCTGTCTCTTTCTTTCCCCCTCTATGGCTCCACCAAAGACCAAATCCTTCAATTACGGAGAGTTTCCATTAATTTCCAGTCAAACCCAAACACCAACATTAATAGCCTTACAACTTTTACACGAACGCACTTAGCTTGAAAGTTGAAAGAAAACAAATAATGCTTCTGGCCATTATATTCTTTTGGGGTTACATATCCATATACACACTAATTGGAAGTAGTCTTATTTGTGGTAGTATACATATACATATATGAATCAAACCCGTTTATTTGGAATTCAATATTTTCGGCGAGAACAAAAACCAATGTTCATTTATGAGCACATTATGATGACCATGAGAAGAAAACGTTGGCGTAATTTGACTAGTTTATTTTCCTGGGATAAATTATACTTATGTAATTCATCACCGTTAAATTGGGGTTTGCAAGTAATAACATAGCTATATATATATATGTATGAATTGAAAATAATAGGCTATCATTATTCTCGATGCAATGAAGTTGTGATTAGGATTTTTATCCAAGTATATTTTGGAGGTTCATTTGAAACTGGTGGGATCCAAAAATTTTGAGAAGTAATTAAGAATGCTTCACATAAGGCCCTGAATCTCTTAGTCTCAGTTTGGGCAAATTAAATGATGTTCTAGAAATTAAAGCAGGATTGGTGATTTTCTTTTTTCACATAATGAACTTATCTACTAATCATATGTGCGGCAGATTGGAGAATTTGGATTATTACATAACAGAGAGGCCTTCAATAATTGAATGTGTTTTTCTTTTTTAATTTTCCTGGAGAGAATTCAGGAATTAGATATGCTGTATGCGTGTCTTGATACAATGGATGTTGGAATATATAGAGTAAACTATGTACTCAGGAGAGAAAACAAGACAACTAATCAATATTGATCGAGACAGGCAAATTATTTGTAATAACATCATGTAAAATGATAAAGAGATGTTTTCGGGAGGATTGATGAACAAAATAAATGTTGAAACGACGGCGGTCTTGTAATGGAGCCTGCTTTTCACAACAATGCACCCGAAAAGCATCAATCACACGTTGCGCAATTTTACCTTTACGTTAAAGACTACTACAGAGAACGAATTCCTTCTTTACATGCTCATGGCCTTCATTTGATTTCGGTACATTGATTGGTCGCCGTTAGTTACATGTATGGTCATTAACTATAAAGCCTTAGAACACCATGTTTAATCTCATGAAACCCTTTTTTCTTGCCAGAATCTTATAGAATTATGTACAATAGATACAGCAATTGGTGAAGTCATGGTTGATAAGAAATACTTATGATTGACGACACACCTACTATTGAGGATATTTGTAAACAACATAAAAGCTAGCTCCGTGCAATATAATCAGGCGCATATATATATATATTATGTGGGCACCACAGGATCACCATGCACGACTATGAGCAAAACATAAATGTGAAGACATTATGCATTTGTCTCTCTCATAACTCACCAATTACAAAATCAAAGTTAATATATCAACCAAAAGTGCTCCAGTTAGTAATGATTTGATCGCTGTGGAGATTCAAATCCCGTTGCTGATATAAAAGCCTTATTGAGAGGTGATTTGTAAATAATTTTGCCAGCGTTGTTACTCAGACTTATAAGCATGTCCTGGTCTTAATAAACTTAGCTTTGTGGGACCTAATTCCAGTTTATACAGCTTTTTCACAGAGTTTTGGTGAGGAACCATGCAACTTAACCGTACCCTGCGGAGAATTTTTCTTGTGAGGAATAACCAGAAAACAATTAGATTTATTATGGCTCGTATTAATCCGTATCAAAAGTGTGGGAATTAAGCTGTTTCTCTTTGAATAATTTGAAACCGAACGGGAAGCTTCTCGGAGCGCGTACATGCCGAGCTGAGAATTGAAATTGAAGCTAGCCATCATCAATCAGGTGTACACTTTTCTTAATTAAATTATTGACTTCAAGGAATTAAATTAACTGACACGAAACGTACAACATTCCGACTAATCGGTCCTTATTAATTGGGAGTACTGTTTGAGAGAGTTTGTTCATCATGTCTAGGGATACTTTTCTCCGTTTAGGTATTGACCAAATGCGTCTGTGTTTGCATTCTCCTATTCGATTTCAGTTCCTTCAATGTCAATATGTGAGAAAATCTGTGCATTATTGGGTCAACTTCCATTCACATACGTATATACTTCCTATTGCCATCAATCAGTACGTATAGTTTTATAGAATTCTTTTGGGACAATTCTTTTTCAACTAATCAGTGATCAGCGAGTCTCATTTTTCACGTCATTTCCAATCCCCCACCATTTACTCTCTCTCCTTAAAAAGATACATATCAAAGCCTGTTTAATACATAGTCAAATTGGCACAAAAATTTCATTAAAATGCGTGTATTAAAGGCAGACTTTTGCTCTATGCAGCTCAGCTCAATTTGATTGGTCTCTATCAATTTATTAGAGTTAATCAATGGATTAAATATATGTATTTACCCTTAAAATTTCCTTTTATATAGAAAAGGGAAAGCTAAAGATGACCCAACCTGTCTTTCATAAATCAAAACCCCATAAGTGCAGTGCAGGTATACTTCTGACCAAGTCAGCTGGATTCAGTATGGCTCTTTTCTGAGGAGGGAATTTCAGAAGCTAACAACCCAAGAACTCTCTCTTCCGCTCTGATCTCTATCTGGAGATGGATTTAAGAGAATATTACAGTGCAGAAGACAAGAGTATGAACTTTCATGCTCCCGCTTTCTTTGAATGGCTCAAACCGTCTTCATATCCTCCTCCTCCTCCTCCTTCATCTTCTGTGATTCACAAAGAGACTATTCAGTTTTTGCCAATTTTAACTGAAAAGCCCTCAAAAGAGGAAGGCTATGGTACTGTTGGGGTAATTAAAGAAGAGAAGGACGACGTAGATGAGCAAGTGACTGTGGCTTTGCACATAGGATTACCTAACACACAAGGTTTTGAGGCTGATGATGATCAGAAGAATAAGAAAGTTACCGATGTGAAGGAAGAAGAAGTGGTGAATAATAGAAGCTTTCAAGAGTGCTCTAAGAATTCTAACACAGAGAGAAGATTCTGGATACCAACTCCTGCACAGATCCTTGTTGGGCCGATGCAGTTTACTTGTTCCATATGCAGCAAAACCTTCAATAGGTATAATAACTTGCAGGTTAGTTTTTCTTTTTCTTTTAATCTCATCGATTTCTCATACTCAAAATTTTAAATTTATAGTTTCAAATGAAGTTCATACAATACATGTAGATACTCAAATATCATCACCAGTTGAGAGAGGGGAAATTGAATTTTGTGTGTGTTTTCTATGGCTAGTTTTTAGAAAAATATATTACTATTCTGTGCTTCCATATGTATCCCCCGAAAGGTGGGGAAGATCGCACACAACAGTAATTATAATTAGAGATCTCCTAGCTAGCTGTTGGCAACAAGTTTCATTGTTTAAATGGCGAAAAGAATTCGGCTCTATAATTTATGGCGCTATCAATTGCATTAGATTTTCTTATTTAGGCGCCATCATTGTACATGGATTCGCCTGTCCAATAGATGTTTCAGAAATGCTTTAAAAGAAATGAACAAATCGAAACTTTTAAAGAGATTGTAATAATGACACTTGCTATAATCATTCCACAGGGGTCTTCCTTTCCTCTTGTTTATCATTCTGTGGTTAAAATACCAGAAAGGATCATCGTAAAGGAATGAATTATTGTTAGACAGATAATAGGGTGCACATGACCTCTTGCAAGGATACATATAATTGTTATTTTTAAAAAAAAAAAATTCTGTGATATGAATCATAAGGACAACTAGGGTATACGTAGCTGCAATTATTCACATCTCTCCTAATTAATGCGGTCTTCATTTAATTCATTAGTTTCTTATAGTAACATTTGAATCCCAACACTAATATAACAGTAACAAATTTACTTGTATTTTGGCATGTAACTATTGCAGATGCATATGTGGGGTCACGGATCAGAGTACAGAAAAGGAGCAGAATCACTGAAAGGAACACAACCAGCGGCAATGCTGAGACTGCCATGTTACTGTTGTGCCCAAGGCTGCAAAAACAACATCAACCATCCAAGAGGCAAGCCTCTTAAGGACTTCAGAACCCTCCAAACCCATTTCAAGAGGAAGCATGGTTCTAAGCCTTTTGTCTGCAGAAAATGCGCCAAACCCTTCGCCGTTAAAGGAGATTGGAGGACTCACGAGAAGAACTGTGGCAAGTTCTGGTATTGCTCCTGCGGTTCTGATTTCAAGCACAAGAGATCTCTCAAAGATCATATCAGATCCTTTGGAAAAGGTCACACCCCTCGTTTTGAAGATGATGATGACAAGGAATATTCCATCACTACTACTTCAGCCTCTCAAGAATGTTAAGTTGCTATTCACTATGGCTTTCTTTCCATTTTTTTCAGATATATATCCAGGGGTGCTACATTATTTCACTTCCTTGAACATCAAACTTTAATTATGAGATTAGCACATCACCTTAAGATTTATTTGTTTTTTTTTTTTCAGTCTCTCACTCAACTTCTTTATTTTTGCTATAACTTCAAATTTATATGCTAATTTTGTTATTAAACTATAATATGTTCAAGGAACAAAATGTAATTCCCGTTAACTATATGTAATTATATATGACTTAATTTCCTATAATTACCATGAAGATTAGTGGCATTGGTGGTTCTCAAAAACTATGGAGGCATGAAACAGAATAAGACATTTCACATCAAGTGATGAAAGAGACGAATTTTCTCATCGCCGTTGCCGAGGAGGGGATGTAGTTTGTGGCGTCTGTAATGTCTTCAATGCAGAAAATTTATCCTCTTCATTGCTAAATGTTAATCTTCATGTAAGGATTTTACTTCTGTTAATTAAACTTATTCATTAATACTATGACTAATTTGCTTGTAGATATGGACATGCTTTATGATACGCGTGATTCCTTGTGCATGGTACGTACGAAGACACAGATTAATAAACCAGATTATACTAGGCGTTTGTCCATGTTATTAATTTTCTTGCAGTGAGTATAATTATTGGACAAGTTTATGTATATATTAGAGGCTGACTGTCTTAAATTGATTTGCACCTAAAAATTGTGCATGAGGTTTTTAAATAGATGGGAAACGAACCCTGGGATCCATTGAAGATTATATTGAGGATATGTCAAGTGCTATCTATACGTACAGTCTAATCTTGGCGACTCATGAAAATTTGGGAATTGTAATGAACGGCCCAGAGCTTTTGACAAATTTACCACTTTCCAAGCAATATCATCATCAAAATTGAAAAGTAGTGCATACCAGTTTTTCTTTTTTTTTCCCAACATTCTCTCTCTAACATCTGCAGAATTTTTCTCAGTTTAGAAATGGGGACATTTAAGATTTGTTTGAATTTGAAGGGAATTAACTTTTAAAATTGACTGGTATCTCATGTATATAGTTAGAGATTAGGTGATCAGCTAAGTAAGAAAAACTGATATACTTGAAAAATAAAGAGAATGTGTTTCCTTCAAAATTTGGTAATCCTCAGTCCACGTGAGGAAGGGTTTGGAAATTTCGATTCTCCTGAGGTTAGGTTTGACCGACCAATTGCCAAAAGTTCCTTCAAGGGGAAAAAAAAGAGAGAAGGGAGATAGAGAGCTGTCCGTTTCGGTGTTGAAGAGAAGGGACCCTCACCGTGTTATTTATCGGGCAAGGAAATGTCAGAGGAGAGTGAAAATCAAAAGATCACAGGTAAAAATAGAAATAGGCCTGGAGGTTTGCGAGAAGTACGTAACCTCTTTTTCAAAATAGAAAAGGACTCAAGCTTTTTTATAGCCTGTTTAGTTTAATAGGTCAGGTCTAAGTTTTTTAAAAAGCCTGTTAGGTTTGGCTTGATCTTTTTTTTATTATATTTTTAATTTTTATTCTGTACTTATATCTAGTTTTATTTTAAATTTTAATATGTAATTATAAGTTTTTTTAATAATATTAACTGTAATTCAAATTTAAAATATTACTTGTGACATTAAAATTTAAATAAAAGATAATAATAAAAAATAATTATTATGTAGTATGTATATTTTACATTTGTTATTGGCCTATATATTTTTTATTATGCATTTTCAAAATTTTAAAATTATAAGCTTTTTAAACAGAATTAGGCCAGGTCAAGCCTTTATACAAATCAGGCTTAGGTTGAAAAAAAAAAACTTATTATAGGTCACAAGTCAGGCTCAAGTCAGTGTGTTACTAAACAGGCTTGGCCTGTTAAGAACAAAAACTCATCTGACCTGACATATTTTCATCCCTAATCACAAGTACTAAGCTGAAAATTGTCTTTGCATCAATTAAGTTTGATAACAGCTCAAATGACCAATATTAACAAATGCTATATTGTTATAATATATATAAAAATGTGATTTTTTGGAAGCTAAAACTCCGCTTGAGACAATAACTTAAAGGAAACGCATGTAAATTTAAAAACTTAAAAAACCGATATGCTACCTCCGGTCCTAATTATAATTATAAAACCTTAGTTATAGTAATAGGACCGAAGTTAGCATACAAGAAGATTGGATAGTTTAATTTAGACCCATGGAGAATGTATACTCTCGTCTATTCTAATCTTAAAAGGGCAAGAGAGAGAGGGAGAGAGAAAAGAAAGGATCTCGTAGCATGCACAGGAAACGAAGCCGGTTTCCTCTGTTTATGGAAAACTGCGAATAATGCCGGCGCAACTTACAACATACCCCGCCTTCGAGAAGAAGTTGGATACTCCCTAGCCCTGCGGTGAGTTTGGTTGATGTCTTCGTTATCCAAATTTTAGTCGTATTCACAAGTGTCTTTCTTAACTTCTAAGTTCTAACTCTCACTCAATGTCGAGGTAAATATGAATAAATTATTTATAAAAGATATATATTAGCTTTTAAAGGCTCAATATAATCTTTAATTTGTTAAGTTTGCACGAAATTTTGTTTTAACTTTTTAAATTTTAAGTTATAGGTTTTGGTCTTTTAAAAAATAAAATAATTTAGATATTATTAAATTATAAGATCAATGTTTTAGATGAAAAAAAATTAAGACATAAAAAATTTATGGTTTGAACTTAAAAAATTTGATGGATAAAAATTATATTAACCTATTTTAAAAATATTTTATATAACAAACTACTCTTATTAATAAAAATTAATTTAAAATTATATTCTTTTTGAGTGGTTTTGAGAGTATTTCACTGGAGAATCTGCTACAAGACATGATATACCGCGCATTCATCTCTGCCGAATGATGGATTAGAAAACACCGTTCCCTTACTTCAGCCGACTGGTACAAACAATGCCTCCATTCAGCACTGACAGATCAAACGACAGAAGCCATTGCCACACTTGTCGACCTTGTAGGGCGGGAAATATACCCACTTTGCCACGTGTCTCTACATCCTTCGTCGCAGGATACGTGGCATGTGGTCGCAACGACAGGACAACTTGTTTCTTGGGAAATCTCCATGTACGTGGCAGTTCGGAGCTGCACCACCCCCCCAGGCTTCGAGCTCATAATCATGTGAGTCCGCAAACTAGTTTTCCATTGCTTATTTAGTGCACACCTCCTCTCGCTCTTAAACCTTAGACTTCTGCTCTATTCCTAGATTCTGTGTGTTTTTTCTGCACTCGTTGTTGTTCGTTTATTTTGAAATAAGCCCGAAGATGAAGGTACACTATATTTCTTCTGCTTCTTTGTATTCTTCGTCGCCGAAAACGTCGTCTTTTCTCCCCATTTTAGTTAATTAATCACATGCTATGTTTTTTTAACAAAAATCTGTGAAAGAGAAGTCCAAAATAGTTACAAGGAAAATGGAAAAGAAAAGGGAGTGTTTGTACCTTGATCTTTCGAAAGTTTTAACGTATATAGCTAGTACGTTCTCTTGGTTTACGTTCAAAGTGATTTGGGGATTTGAAGGTTCATGAGAGGAGGTCGCAAGCGCACCTTCATGCACCTGGGGACGAAGAGAAGGTGAAGATGAGGAAGCAGAAGGCAGAGTCCAAGTCACAGGAAGCAGAGCATTCTCCAAAGAAGCCCAAGCATGAAGAAAGTGGAGAAGACGGCTACACCAACGGCAAATCCGTCGCAGATGTTGCAGCCGAATACGATGAGTTTTGCAAAGCCATTAAAGAGCACCTTTCTGTTGAGCAAATGCGACAAGTTCTTGAAGCTAACGGCCTCGATTCTTCTGGCTCTGACCTTGAAATTACTCGGAGATGGTTAGACGATTAACTTACGGCTTATGTCTTTCCAGTATGAATGGAGAAAACTTTTTTTTTTTTTTTTGTAATTCCATCATCTCACTCCTATATCCTTACTCGTCACTTAAGTCATAAATACTGTTGGGAAGAAAAAAAAGCATTGAATCATGTAAAGCTCAAAGGTAGGATTTGGGGTTACAGTTATGTAAATTTCATGGACAAGATATAAACATCCTCAAAATGAGAATTCCTTACATTATTGACGCGAATAACTTGTATTTTTATACATGAACAGCCAGGATGTGGTGTTTTATGGTGCATTAGAAAAATGCCCGGTTTGCAATGGAACTCTGGAGTTCGATGGGAGACGTTATTCTTGCAGAGGATTTTACAGCGAGTGGTCTAGCTGCACTTTCAGGACAAGAGACCCTCCAAGGAAAGAGGAAGCCATTAAACTACCAGATTCTGTGCAGAATTCTCCTGTTTCAGATGTGATTCACTATCCTGTCTTGTCCTTATAAAGATACAATTGTTGTCACTCTAAACTGTGTCTTGATTATTCATTATTGTGCGTTTGCAGTTGTTGAAGAAATATCGAGACCCAATTCGAAGGCCTCACAGGGATTTAGGCTCAGCAGAGAAGCCTTTCACTGGAATGATGATTTCTCTCATGGGTCGTCTCACTCGGACACATGTACTCTTTGCCCTTTACGTCTTTCTTTTTATTGAGTTTTTTATGTTACTACTGGTTGTTGTTAGTGATTGGAATTTGTTTTGGCTTGCATAGCAATATTGGAAAAAAACTATTGAGAAGCACGGAGGGAAGGTGGCAAACTCTGTAATTGGTAATGTTGTATTTTCAGGACGCCATTTTAGTCCTGTTAAACTGCTTTTGTATAACCAGATTGGTTTATTGAACTATTGATCAGGGGCAACTTGTTTGGTGGCTTCGCCTGCTGAGCGAGAGCGTGGTGGAACATCCAAACTTGCAGAAGCCATGTGAGTGCTTTAGGAGGCGTCATTTGCCCGATATTGCTTTGTGCTGTTCTCATTTTATTTGGCTCTCTAACATACACATGGTGAACAATGTCATTCCTCAGTTTGATTTTCTGCATTACTGCGAGTTTGAGTTTTATTTAGCCCTATTGATTAACAACATGAGAGTTTCCGACATTGAAGTAATATAACAAAGGTCCGATACTAGAGTTCGAACTGGTGCTGAATCATTTGTGAAAGACGGAGATGGTGTTTTGTATCTTTTAACGTTTGTATGCTATGATCAATACCCACCCGCCTGATTGATACAGAGAAACTGAAAATAATGAGATGAGATTTCTTTGTTTATTCGAGAAAACACACAAGATTTCTTACTCGACTGAAGCATTTTTCTTGTAGGGAGAGAGGAATACGCGTGGTGAGGGAGGGTTGGTTGATTGACAGCATAGAGAAACAAGAGCCCCAACCTTTGGAATCTTATGATCTTGTCTCTGATCTCTCTGTAGACGGCAAGGGGATACCATGGGATAAACAAGATCCCGGAGAAGAGTCTATTGAACCTCTTTCTGCTGAAGTATATAAGACCCTCTTTCCTACTGACTATTATTTACTACAAAACAAAAACACGTGAAGATTCCATTATTTTGTGTAACAAAATTCCTTGTCATTGCAGCTTAAGCTTTATGGGAAAAGAGGAGTCTACAAAGATAGCAAACTGCAGGACCAAGGTGGAAAGATATTTGAAAAAGATGGGATATTGTACAACTGTGCCTTCTCTCTCTGTGACCAGGGACGAGGATTGAATGAGTAAATATCAAAGGCCAATTCCATTTATTCATTCTTTCTGTTTTACTTCATTAGACTTACAGAACAAGTAGCTAATCAGTAATGACCACTTTGAGCAGCTTCTGTGTTATGCAACTGATTATGGTGCCAGAGAATCGTTTGCATTTATACTGCAAGGAAGGGAGAGTGGGAGATGATCCGAATGCACAGGAGCGGCTAGAGGAGTTTCAGAATATTGACAGTGCAGTGAAAGAATTTCTGAGGCTTTTTTATGAGAAAACAGGGAATGAGTTTGAACCTTGGGAAAAAGAGAAGAAATTCCAGAAGAAACCACTCAAGTTTTATCCCATTGACATGGTACTTAATGATTCTATCTTATAAATGGTTGGACCTAAACTTGATCTTTCAGATGATAAACACAGTTTTGTGGTACTGCATAGGATGATGGAGTTGAAGTTAGACATGGAGCTCTAGCTCTTCGGCAGCTTGGGATAGCAGTAACACACTGTAAACTTGAGCCTTTGGTTGCGAATTTTATGAAAGTTTTGTGCAGCCAGGAGATATATAAGTACGAAACTTTGTTAACAATTTTCCCCTCTTTAATTTGAAAAGGGATCTGAAATGACCTTCATTGTATATAGGTATGCACTGATGGAGATGGCTTATGACTCCCCTGACCTTCCAGTGGGCATGGTTACAAATCTTCACCTGAAAAGATGTGAGTAGCAATCATTTCATTTCCTTTTCCTAATTTTTGGAATTGCTATCAAGTTATCCTCGTGTAGGTTATCCCTTTTGCAGTCTTAAGGGCGTATTTTCTCACATTAGCCTGTAGCATCTGGGAATCCAAGTCTAGATTCCTCTTTACAGAACTAGGACGCAGTTTTTGAGAATAAATACTTCTTTTATTTACCAATTAAGCCAATCCCCATTACTTTCCGTTCTTTTATCTGTATAATAATGTCCTGTTCCGGAATGATTGATGATTGAATCCAATCAGGTGAGGAGGTTCTGCTTGAATTTATAGAGAAGGTGAAATCAATGAAAGAGGGAGGGCCAAAAGCTGAGGCTGTTTGGTCGGATTTTAGCCAAAGATGGTTCACTCTGATGCATTCCACAAGGCCTTTCAATTTCAGAGATTATCAGGAGATTGCAGATCATGTAAGGCCAAACTGAGCATTCGCCTTCACAGTTCAACCACTTATCTTGAATACTCAATTCACGTTTGTCCTAATATTCCCAGGCTGCTTCTGCGTTAGAGTGTATTCGGGACATAACTGTGGCTTCTCATCTCATACGAGATATGACTGGCTCTACCATTGATGATCCGTTATCCGACAGATACGAGAAATTGGGTTGCTCAATTTCGCCATTGGAGAAAAACTCAAGTGATTATGACATGATAGTGAAATACCTGGAGAAAACTTATGAACCTGTCCGAGTTGGGGACGTTGTAAGACTAAGAACCTTTTCTGTTATACCCAGTATGGATATGCCTTATTTACGTGGGTTGTTAACTTCTTTATGAATTTTAGGATTATGGAGTGTCTGTAGATAACATCTTTGCGGTAGAATCCAAAGCTTGCCCTTCCTATGAAGACATTGTAAAGCTGCCTAATAAAGTTCTCCTTTGGTGTGGTAAGATACGCTTGGTCCTACGTGATTTTATACTAGTTTCTTTTGAATGAAACATATACATTTTGTTACACAATGTCAGGTTCACGAAGCTCAAATCTTTTGAGGCACTTGCACAAGGGTTTCTTGCCAGCAATATGCTCCCTACCTGTTCCGGGCTATATGGTACTCATATATAAGCTCATTCAACTTCAATATATTGTCCAACATTGGCATCTTCTCAATGCTTTTCCCCTTTTCTTTTTTCTATGACAGTTTGGGGGAGCCATTGTTTGTTCTGATGCCGCAGCCGAGGCCGCAAGATATGGTTTTACTGCTGTGGACAGGCCAGAAGGCTTCCTGGTTCTGGCCATTGCTTCCCTAGGAAATGAGATTACAGAGCTGAAAAACCCACCCGAGGTAATAACATTGTTCACAGCTTTCCTAGATTCTATAATAATTTCGTTTACTGAGTTATTGTATCTATTGAGATAGGACACAAAATCCTTGGAAGAAAAGAAAAATGGAGTGAAGGGGTTGGGGAGGAAAAAAACAGATGAATCAGAGCATTTTGTTTGGAAAGATGACATTAAAGTTCCCTCAGGTCGGTTAGTTGCCTCAGAGCACAAAGATAGCCCTTTGGAATACAACGAGTACGCTGTCTACGATCCCAAGCAGGTACGAACCACGCAACAATAAGTCACACAGTCTCTAACTCAAAAAACTAATGAAAATCACTTGATTGGTGAAATTTCAGTGGAAATTTTAAAAAGGGGAGTATCTAAGATGGCTCTTCTTCTTGGCAGGTGCGCATAAGCTACTTGGTGGAAGTGAAATATGAGGAGAAAGGCATGGTGATGGACACGGCAGAGTGAGAGAGGAACAGAAAGTGACCCAAGAACTTTTTCCCTGATGGAAGGTTCGCAGTGACGAGATCGAGATGGTGCTATTTTGATATGTGTGTATATAATATATGGTAAAATAAGACGTGGTATAGCAGTGGAATATCATGGTTTCCAGGTTTTGACGTATATGTAGGTCAACGGACACTAACTTGTGGTGTAAGTAAAAATGTTTTGTGCTGCTCTTGTATCTCAGCGAGAGTTTCCATTTGATAATCCTAGGCGACGTTATTGTCGTCTAGCTGCGTGCTCCCGCATGATTGAAGCAACGGCTGAATAGAAGGGATCTTTTACTTTCTACTGAAGTATGGCTTCCAGGTGCTTTTTGTATTCAATTAGGGAGCTCCTTTAGTTGAAGAACGGAAAACGAGCATGGAATGCAGATCTTGTATAGCATGTTTAGTCATGGAAGAGTCACGATGTGTGTCAAGAATCTGTAATAGCAGTTCTCGAATCTGCTTTTATCAATACACGAATAGTATCCAGACGTCTAAGATCTTAAATCCGTATTGCTTTTCGGTATTGGACGAAATTTTGGTTACATCGTATGAGAAAAGGCAGTATTTTTACGTTTCTACCACTCAAATCGGCAATGATAGTAAAAATAAAATGTCACTGATATATGGTTAGGGGAGGAATCTTGAAAGTGTCCGGAAGAAATGGTATAGGCCTCCGTCCAAGGACGAGGTCTCTGTAAAATGCGTATTCTGCTTCATAATCATGCAAATCGAGCTCGGCCCTCTGGCTGGTGTGATAATGATGTTTAGCTGAAGCTGACTTGCCAAAACCAAACATGCTCACTCTCGCACATATCCCCAAAGCCATCATCAGAGCTTGCATCCCGGAAGAGTAGTGAAAGAAAACACCACCATGAGCAGAGCTCCATTCCTCTAACCCCTTCCCTGTTTCCGTAACGAAACGTTTCAATGAATAGTACTTCACTATTCGAGCACAGAGCACATCGAACCTTGGATCGGTGATCACAAGTGGCGCCTCGTGAGACGAATTGCACAGAATGTAGTCCAGTAAATGTGCTGGCTGGCATATGTACATAACCATTGGAATGTGTGATCCATATGGGTGACAAAAGCATTCTCTGTTTCTCATACATGAATGCAAGATGTTGCTATTTACAAACGAAATGTTAGTTTTTGTCCCTACGTTTTTGTCAAACCTTCCGACCCTCGCATTGTTCAATCGAATAACCACTTCGTGGTTATCAATCAGCTCGCCATACTCACTGTTCAGCAGAATCCCACTATTTCCGACCACCGCACATGACTGGTACCGGCGGTCGGAGCCCACTGGACCATTACGCCTGCCGATTGGATGCTTTATGAGACGTGTCAACTCGGACATAATATTTGGTTCAAATCTCTTATTTTGGGCCCAATCGGACAGAACCCTTCGGAACTCCAACCACTGTCCATAGCGAACGTCATGGGCATTGAATCTCCATGGAAAAAACGGGGGCTGTTTTGGTTGACTGCCAAAGTCAACATCAAGAATCTTCTGGATTTCTTGGTTTAATTGTTTTTCTCCGATGTCGATGGCAGCGTATTTTATCAGTGTCTCGTTGGATAATGAACCTGCACTTAGAACCAATACGCTGTTTATGAGCTCCATTGAAACTAAGCCTTTAGAGAAGATGGTTTGGCATCTGAGAATGGCTAGGAAGACGATGATGGGCAGAATGCAAAAGAGCGGACGAACCGAGCATTTCATTGGTGAGACGTGTTTAATGAGACAATTGGTTGGCGGTGTGGCGGTGTTGCGGTGTAAGTCCGAAATTCGATGCAAGAATGAAATGAAGAAGAACAAAGAGTTGATGTTTCAGACGAATATGTGGGGGAGATGGTGGGACATGCATAGGCAACAGAGTTAAAAAGAGTTTCTCAGTCCATATGGAAGTTGACAGGAAGGAAAAAAAGAAGAAGACTGAACGAGAAAAGCAAATCCTTGGGGCAAAGAAACTGAGGGTAGAATGAAGAAGATGAACCAGCACAAAAGGCAAGCCAAGAGGATATGAAGCTTGAAAGGCCAGAATGGCAAGGCTGACGCAAAAGCAAACAAGAGATCGGGATTGAGTTTGAGAAGTGTACACTGGAGATAGATGCCATTAAAAAGGCAAACTTTGTGACTTGTACTGTGGCCATTAGAATGCGGTTTTGCAGGGGAGGGATGATGCGGACAGGTGGATGTGAGGAGTGGGGGTCCATGTGCAAATAATAACTGGGGCTTGAAGAAAACAGAACACATGAAAGTCTTCGGAATCCTATTTCTTTAGAACAATAATGATGGTTGACCCTCTTTTAGTTTTAGAGAATGACTTTAATAGTTGCTATATGGAGCAGTAAAGTTTCGGGGACTGGATAGAACTCAGAAGCCCCTGAAACCCCATAACTACCAGTCTCCAACTGTATCGAATGACGTTGGACCCATCTTTGATGTGCCTTTTGGGTTTTATTTATTATTATCTGCACCATATCTCAAAATTAACACCATCTAGTTTATAATCATGCCCTTGCATTGCACCTTTTTATTTATTTCAACCTTTTGCTCTTCCCACGCCTCCGTCCTTTAATGACCCGTATCCAATCAGGATGACATAAGTCAGACAATTCAAGAACTTAGGACCGTTTTGTTCACAGAAAATATTTTGATGAAAATAACCTCCCCGATTTTTCAAATCTACGAATCAACAGTAATCAACAGACTGGAATCAGATTTTGCAAATCTAGAAATCTTCTTCATGAAACCATGTCTTTGATGACCATCTTCGACAACCACGAACGAGATCAATGAGGTGGCTTCGATGACCCAGCTTCGAGAATCAATGACCCACCTTCGATGCTTGCTTTTGTGTTCTCTTGGATCAAGGTTGCAGACGATGAGGAGATCGACTTTGGCATTCGACAGTGGGAGGTGACGTCGCCGGAGTTGAGATAGCGGTGCCCGAGGAAGAAGAGGACGAGAGGCAGGACATCGGGGCGGGTTCAAAAAAAAATCAAACATAAAAACGGTGTTTTGGTGATCAAGAAATAATTTTCCAAAAAACTTCCTAGCTCTAGCTCAGAAAATCAATTTCCACCATTTTGCATGAAAATCATTTTCTTGTAGCCATATTCACGCGCGTGCCAACTAAAAAAAATGTTTGGATGAAATTAAAACTATACTTTTAAAAATATTTTAATAATATATAAAATAAATATGTGGAGGAGTTTATCTCGATTTACAAAAAAATATTTTTTATAAACACTTTTAATGTTTTCCAAACACCCCTCCAAATCATTGGAAATGGAATCACTTTCATTCCCTAAGCCCCGTTTCGAATGAAACAAACGAACCCTCGGATATATTGGTGGGAAAAAAAAAAACAAAAAGGCTTTTAAATACTACCTCTGGTCCTAATTATAAGACCTATTTGACTTATTTGAGGAGATTAAGGAAGTAAGTTAAGTTAGTTATTTGTAATAAATAAATGTTGTCATTCCTAAAATATCCTTGCTAATTAAGTATATTGGCTAGAACTATCATTATTAGAAGGATTATATTGAAAAAATGCATAAATATAGGAGACAAAATGGATTGGGGTCTTATAATTAGGATCAAACAAAAAGTTAAATAGGGTCTTATAATAAGGACCGGAGGTAGTATATATATAGGGCGTATTATAAAACATATATTTTTTAAGTAATTACATGTTTAAAATTACTTTTATTATAAATCATTCAAATAATTTTTAATTTATCCAACTAAACTTCGGAAAAAATATATTCAAACATAAATAAATTTTTCACCAACGAATTTTTGTCAAACTGGGCTAAGTAGAAGTTTAACAGGCAAATGTTTTATCAGAAAATTAAACTCACCAATTTTACCGATAACTTGTCCCTTTTTTAATTTTATTAATTCAAAAATATTGTCCTGACGATCTTTCCTTTTTTTGGGGCCAACCTGATGATCTTTCCTTAAGCATTCCCTTTTCGTAAACTGATCACCTTCGTCATTCCTAAGCGAGCTTACCTTTTCTTAATTTGGATCGCATTCCCTGGGGATATTGGAAACTTTTATCTTGCGCCCACATTTCTTTTACAAGCCTTTCATTTCAATCATTTTTCATTCGCCCAAGTGGCTTCACAATTTCGCAAGCATCAATATTTTCCCAAAACCCAATTCGCATAAACTAACTTCTTACTTCATCATTTTGTTTTCACGCTCAATATTTCAATTTTAAGTGTTTCAATTTTCAGTCAAAATACAATTAATAATAAATTTTAAAAAATAAAAGCCATCATCTCAGTCAAATTATTAGTATTAGGCTGTCTATTGGGGCATAATGCCGTATAAAAACGAAGTCCTATCCCTACCATCTATTAAAGGACAAAAATCAAAAACAGCCTAGTCCTCAATTTCAGCGTTTCTCCTACAATATTCCATCGCATATATTTCTGGCGAGAATCATCGCCCAACTAAAAATTACGTTGTTTTCATTTTAACTCCACGTGGCCACAATATTCTAATGAGAATGAAAGTAATTTCCAGACACACTGATAATGACCGACAATTGGAAAGGTTACTAAATTCATTTACATGATGATGATAAGGATCACAATTCACGAACCAACCCACCACCCACCGACCCCCAACCCGTAACACCCAAACCGACCAAATTGATCGGAACCGACCCGGGCATAGGATCCGAATAACTTGCTTTCGCACTCGACGTGACCGTAACACTTTTCAGATCTTCTCGAGCTTTTCGCCCTTGACCACCGGATTTGCCTTCGCGATCTGCTCCCTGCCCATACCCTTGAAGTCGAACTCACATCCGTGCTGTTCTGGGTACCGGTGGGGGAGCCGCAAAATGTTGATCCGCACCTGCACTTGAATCCTGTGAGGCCCACGCGCCGCCTACAAGTCAAGCACCGGCTCGGCTGAGCCGGTGACTGCGCCACCGAAGATCCAATCTTGACCACGTCCGCTGAGCGTGGGGGATCGAATGCAGCCGAGGACGAAGTTCCGTCGATCTGTACCGGCGAAGACGACGACTGCGAGGTCGTCGAAGACGGAGGAGCAAGGGATTGGTTGAGAACCAACTTAGCAGAGGAGGA